TTTCGTCATAGCTTTTTCACTAACAAAAACGGGTTCCATTAATTCAAGTTGATGCTCTATATAACTGTAAAGTTTCGTCAACCTTAGGTAATTCAGCATGATGAGAAGAAAGAGAAGCGACTTAACCTTCCCCGGAACCTCTATTCCCTTCCCTTATTTCAGGAGGTAAACTGTAGTAGGATTCTTCTTTCACTCTTAAGGACCAATAATGATTTTCTTGATACTTTACGACTGTAAAGTTTTGTCAACCTTAGGTAATGAGGCAGGATGAGAATCAGGTCAAGCTCCAGAACCGGAACCCATTTATTCTTGAACCTACTTATTAATGATCCTGAAAAGTAAGGAAAGAATAACCTCTCGATTAATGATCCTTCCCCTGAACCTCTCCAACTAGGTTTCACAATTCTATTCCCTGTCCCTTCTTTCACAGTAAGAAAAGAAGAAGAAGCAAGATGAATTAGACTGATTTCACTCTTTCACCTTTACAGTCGGTAAAGCAGCTTCTCTCTTGAACCTCGACTTCTTTCTCTGATCCTTTCTTTCCTTTAATTCTACTTGAATGACTCAACTCAAGACAAAACTCAACAAGATGAATTATCCTGAACCTATTTACCTCGTTCAATCAGTCCAATGGAGGGTTACGAGAATCTTCTTTGTATAGGGAAGTTTACCTCATGAAAGAATAGTGAAACCCGAGTGAAAGAGAGAGAAGCCAGAACGTAGATTAAAAGCTATCTTGTGATCATAATTGCTTTAGTTTCGAGTTCAATCAGGTTGTGAAGGAGAGAAGCTATGAGACTGTAAAGGAGAGGCATGTCTTCCTTCTTTCAAGCAAGAAAGAGTTAGCTCCTTTTTTTCTCTTCAGAGGAGAACAACAAAGGGTTGGACCTAGCCTGCCTACAACCAAAGCATTAGAAGCCCTTAATTAAAGAGGCCTTTAGTCAATCTGGAGTGTTCCCTAGCTTGATTCTTTCTTTCTTTCTTTCTTTGCTTCCGTCGCTCAGTGCTCGCCCCTGACAAACTTTCTGTCTAACTGTCTAGATCTCTTGCTCGGTGTGCTCCTTACTCGTTTAGCTCGGCAAGAAAGTAAGTAATTTAGTTTAGCCTCAGCCTTTCCTTTCTCAGCTAGGTGACCTGAGCTTGGGGATTTTGTTTAGTTAGTAAGGGAGTAGGGAGGAGTCAAAGGGTGGGAATAGATTGTAGTGAATTGTGGGAGTTTCTAAGGAAAGAAAGCTATCTTCTCAAAGTCAAATCTGAAAAAGGATGGAGTTCCAGCAAAACCCTTTCTAAGGATGAGGACAGTAGTTCGGGAGTTCGCTCGAAAGAACTGGCGTACCAAGCTTTCGATCACTCTGTTAGATCCAAGGCACATCTTCATCAAGCTCTCGAACAAAGAAGATATGCACCAAACAAAGAGAAGTTTTTGATTGAGGGATTGATGGTTTAGGGTTTTCTGCTGGAGCCATGATTTCCGTCTCCGCAATGGTGATCCAATGCATGCGCCTATGCTGGGTATCGCGACTCCATCTGTTGTCTTCTTCTTTGAGTTTCACCTGTTTTCTATCGTCTCGATTTTCGGAATTGGCCTGACCCTTGAAGGTCCTACGAAGCTTGTCTCACGCCCCCCTCTCACAATAAAGCTAGGGTTTATGTAGAAATCGATCTTATCAAGGAAAACCTCCCAAATCGTGTTTTGATTTGATCAACTATGTATGTATGGATCACTAGCAAGAAATCGTTGATTTTGGAATACCTAAGTTCTGCACGCATTGCACAAGGTCATGCCCGTGACGAATGCAAAGTAGCAAATAAGGAACCTGGTGTCAACCCGTCACCGAGAATGTCCTATGTTCCAAGAACCAATGCTACCCAGCCAGCACCTACCACTGAAGTTAGCCTTCGTGATTCTGATGTTGTGCTGACATGCAACCCATTGAAAATGGTCCTCGAGGTGAAGAGCTTGAACCAGATAACAATCCCCAAGCTTCTGTTCTTCAACAACCGGAGTATTTAGCTATTGGAAAATCGCCTTCGGTTAACCCCCTAATACCGACGGTAGCTCTGCCTCATGGGGACAGCAGGAAGAGGAAAGAGTTTGAAGAAAGTTTGCTGATAATAATAATAAAGACCCCCTACGGATCATGCACTGGATCCATCCGGCCCGGAATCCAATGAACCGATGGTTAACCCTCTTTTTTTTAGTGATTTCCATAGAGAGAGAAGTTCGCACTTTTTCCTTAGAAGAAAGGTCCTCAAAGCCTCTTCATTCCAATGAGAATAATGAAGAATCCAATAGCTCCTGACCCACAATCATCTCATCTAGTGGTGGAGCGAGGGGAGCTTTCAAAGTAGCCATTGTTTAAGGGGGTAGGAGAGCGTAGAAAACGTCCTAGAAGTAGAGGGAAAGGAGAGTGGACAAGGCCTTTTTATGATGAAGGCGGGTCTTTGTCTTTCTATTAGCGTTGAGGTTAGGCTCCTAGCTTCAAAAGTGGGAGCTAAGCACTTGGCTAAATCATCATCTCCTTTCACTGGTATGATTCCGTCTAAAGGAAAGGTTTTTCTACAAAACCAAGAAGGAAAGGATTGAATTTGGTTAGACCACCGGGGAAGGATCAATTCATTCATATCAGCTAATCCCAGCAGGGTTACAAAACGCTTTCACTCGTTAAGCTAACTTTTCGTTACGCGGGGAGAGGTTTTCTTCTCGAAAAGAGCCTCAATCTTGTTTATTCGTATGTTATGTTGAGAAAACACCTGTCTTTGTTCTAGTCCAAGGGAAGCCTCCGGGCAAAGGGTGAATGAGATCTTCTATTTCTCCCCGATTTGTTCAAAGAAAAGGAATGAGAATGGGAGTTGAGAAAGAAGGGAAAAAAGAGAGGGTCCGAAGGAGGTGCTTCTAAAGCTAGTTGATTTTGAAGTTTATCCTATTGTTTTTGGGAATCCCAATGGGTCGCAGAGGCAAAAAAGAGTGCCTGCTAAAGACAGTAGAGAAAGCTTTTACCTTATACAGAATGCGATGCCACAAGGCAAGAAAGTTGCAAGGAGGCTTTGCTTTCAATCTGACTCGAATAGCATTGCTTCCCTCATTCACACTTTCATCTAGAAGGGTAACTAGCGCCTACTTCTTATCTGGATTAGGTTGGTTGGTGTTCATGCCCCACCAGGTCGGTCCCTCTTTCTATGTTCTAATTGAAAGTACAACCTCTCACATATAACCGTCTAAAAGGCGAGGTTATTTCTTATTGAAATGGAATGAATCAGAAAATCCACTGCATGAGAATTTTAAAAGGTTAAGTAAGGAGTGGCATCTGACCACAACATGCCGCGAAGGGGGAGGAGTAAATCAAAAGGAGTTCCATCTGACCGCCTGCCTTGTCTCTCCAAATACCAAGATCTGCCTGCTGTCAAACTCCTAGTGATAGGCTAGTGGACTCAAGTCATTTAAAGTCCCGGAAGATGAAGGCCCCTATCGTCATGATCAAAGAAGTTTCTATACACTCTAATCTCCCTCCGTAGTATATCACCCCTTGTTAGCATTCCATTCCCTGCCTTGACTTCACATCGAGATATCCGCTACAACCAACAAGGAAATCAAACCTCACTAGTGTGTGTGCCACTAACTCTTCCTCTTTTGATAAATAGAGGGGTTTCCATTTGAATGAGTAGATCTTCCCGACCCCGTGCCTACCTTTACTCAATGCTCCTGAAGTCCGAAAATGGGACTGAGTGGAATGGGGGAAGTGAAGTAACAGAAATGGTAGTCGTGGACTCGCAGTACTTCCTACTTTTGGTAATCCTTATTGTGATCTCTCACTCTGGGCTAACATAGTCTCTTAAGTGCTAGCCAGGAGAACAAATAGCAATGAACCTTATCTACATATTCCCCTCCTACCAAGAATTACTAGAGCTCTCGAAAAGGGTACCGATAGGCGGATTGACGCATCTGAGCAGGCAGGGCGGTTTTTCCAACAAGATAGACTAGTGAGTTTCATTAAGGAAAAGGATGCAATAGCCTTAGGGTTGATGCTGGATCCTCCACAGGGTGACATCCGATCCAACCTAGTTGATATGCAAAGGCGATGGTCTGAAATTGAAGACAGAAAGATTTGAGAATACCAAACAGCGATCTTAACGCAAACAGTCGGTATAGATATCTGGAAGAGCATAATAGCCTAAAGTCCCATACTTTAGTAAAGAAGGAAGAAAAGCCTACAGGCGGCCATACTTCGGCTAATGGGGGTGGCGCCATATTTGAGAGAGGAGAAGACGTCTTCAGCAGACTTGGAAGAGGACTGCGAGCAAGGGCTCACTAATCAACCATAAAGCCTAAACATGACTGACTCCTAGTAGGCCAATCACTGCCTTTTTAATGTGAATAAGATTCTGTAAAAGAAAGTCAGGGCGTATTCTCTAGCAGCAGCAGATTTTGTTCCTACAAAAGGAAAGAAATCCAAAACAAAAGAAGTCAGGCCTTTCCGATCTTTGATAAAGAATTAATGTTCAATCAGTTCCTTCCCTTAAGGAGTTGGCTGGACTACACTCTGACTTAATTAGCGGATTTGTCTCAAAGAGGCTTTTGAGGCCTTGGCCTGCATCTCTAAGACCGGATTTTGTTCATTTAAGGAGCGGGGACGCGAGGGCCTTCCAAAGGAATTAGGTTCAGTTGCCTACATGGCTACTTTTAGCAGCTCCCGAAATAGGACTAGCCTAAACTGCCAACCAACCTTGACTCTTTTTGCTTTTTCCTTATAAGGTTGAGTTTTCCAACCTCGTAGACAAAATGAGAGACCGTCCTCAGGGCTAGCCTGACTCTGACTTTCGCTGGAGGACTGAAACTTCTCAAGTCAGTGCCTACGACCATACCTAAGTTTGTAGCTTTTTAAAGATCCCTCTCATGTGATTGAAAAGATGGAATGTCTTAAGCCTCAATTTCTTTGGGAAGCGGGATAAGACACATATAAGAAGTTGGAGTAGGAAAACTACTGAGGCAATGAACTTGGGGATACGGGAAAAATGGGTCAATTGGGCTTTTCCAACTCTTGTGGCGGCTTCTTTTCTTACTGCGACAGATTGTCTTTGGGTCAATGCTGGCTATTGTAATCTTTTGGCGGGACGCATGATTGACTTCCCCTCCTACGCATGGAAAAGTGTTTTCAAAGCTATTCAAAGTATCACCGAGTCTCTTGCTCTATCATCAATGGTCAGTCGATTAGCCTGGTGTTAGTGGTACTCTATTAATTTAATCAAGACCCCGACCTTTTATTTTTGTTCTCTTTGCCACAGTAGCAGATCTTATTCTCACCAATCTTCCTTTTAACAAATCCCAACATTTGGGATAGCATAAAAGCTATTGATCTTCCCCTCTTTCAAATCATAAGAGTAGGTCTTTTCTCCATTCGATCAGCAATCAAGGTTTAAAAGAAACCTTACCTTTTTTTGATCCGGACTTCTGACCCCATCCAAAAAAAATGGAAGTGGGTAAGGCAAACTCTATCTATTCCCAAAATGGAGTCCTGTCTCCGGTCTGCGATCCTTGAAAGTCTTCCTAAAGCATATAATCTAAACTCGATAGAGATGAAGATGAATGTTTCTCAAGACCGTCCATTTTGCCAAATTTTCATTGAACCGGCATCATTCTGCTTAAACTTAACATTTGTTTGGCTTGGTTTCTGTTAATTGGTCTCATTCTGAGTCCTGAGTCCATTCGCCAGTTTTCTCTTGTGTTTTTTTGAAAAAGGAACGAACATTAAACACAAATGTCTCAAGAGCATATGGATCTCAGCTTTCCGCATTACGGAATATATGGAAAAAGCATGCATAATGAGAGAGTGTTTGACCACTCGTCGTCTTCTTCTCCCACTCTTTCAACTCGAACCAATGCTCGATAGGCTCCCCCAGACCAGGGTAGAGTCAAGCTAAAGATGGCTCTGCCTCTAAAAGTGACCTGCGGGGGCCAGAGGTCTAATTCTTATAGACTATGATGGCCGGATACTCCTCCCTCCAGAAGGCAACTCCTCCATGGACCCTCAGGACCATTGTCCAGGGTTGCCAGTTTATGCTACAGTCGTTTCACAGCTGGTCACCACTTAGGTAAGAACTCCGTCATTGAAAGACGTTCCCCTAGTGCTTCCCTTTCAATTTAATGAAAGAAGTACGAGTCGAGCGGGTTTTATCTTGTTAGGCTTCGGGATTATGGATCAGCCCATACCAAAGAAAGGGCCCCTTTCGCCTTTAGGGCTTACTTAGTGCTTGTGCATTAGGATTTCTCACTGACTTGTACAAGTCAGGAACAAAGTGTGAGACCTACAGGTAAAGGAACAAAGTGCGAGACTTGAAGGGAAAGGGTGAAGACGCTCGACCAACGGGACAGGAATGAACGCGCATCTGGATTCCTTTTTTTTTTTTAAGATCACACGAGGAGAAAGGTTGCTTTTGGTCAGCTGTTCCCAAGGAGTCTTGAAGAAGGAAGATGTGGCACAATTCATTTTGTTAGAAAAGTCCTTATTTCATGCGGTTAGTGTTTTCTAATACCCTAAATATAGGGTAGGGCATGCAAGATGCAAATTGGTATAGAATACGGAGCGATCTTAGCATGGTTTTGCCCAGAAAGAAAAGCACGCATTGGCAAACAGACTTACAAAGAGTAGGGAAAGGAAGTGGAAGACTAAGAAAAGTAGGAAATCAAAGTCACTTCACTCTGATTGACCAAAGGAAAGTCAGAACGGAACTGCAAATAGCGAGAGAGCCCCTAGCCAACTATCATTCCCTTGCTGGTGTCAGGTTTATGGGAATTGAATCAATAGTCGACAGTACACCCACATGTATGATTTTCGGTATGAGTCGGGAACCAGTAGAACTATCGGGGGAATTGTACTGAATACTGTTCGTATTGGAATTAGTAATACATATTCATACATAGTAGAGGAAATGGATTCGAGCTTAGCTAAAGAAGAATGGATCATGTCAAGGAACTGACTCGTATCATGAAGATGAGACTCACCGTGACAAAGGACTGCCCTCCACTGCATCTTTACTGAGACTGAATGCATACACCTGTGGGGGGCTGGGGTCCTCTTTCTTTCTTTTTTTGTATTTCACTTGCCTACATATCTGGTTCTACCTAGGAATCAAACCCCATCCATTTAGTTCCGTCTATCTTCTGATTCCACCTTGTAAAAAACATAGTTTAATCTTTTATACCGATGTATCGTACTCTCTCGACCAGGTCATCCCGCCTAAGATAAGGATCGGGATCTCTCAACGGGTCTGGGCGCAGATAGCCTCCATCCGCAAAGAGATCTAAGACCTTTTTTTGAACGGACCCACGCCCCATATGGAAACGATGAAATTTGTCTCATCTCTTTGATTAAGTCTTTCTTAGTGGGATTTCTAGGAAGAAAGTGGGCGATGACTTCCTACTTAGAGTGGGAACCGCAAATGGTTCCTATCGGATCTATCCTATCCTTGATTTTGTAGAAGGAGTTTGTAAGTTGGAGGATCCAAAAGGAGGTTTCCATCTTTCCCATCTGGTCAGGGAGTGGTGCGGGTTCGCTGACTAATGTGTCGCTAGGTCGCGGAGTACACAACCTTAAGGTCGTGGGTGAAGCAATGGCTTAACTACGTCAAGTGGTACTACATGGTTTCAGTATCTCCAAGCGTAACCATTCAAGATCTCTTATACACACCGAAAATGGCAGGTTGAATCGACCGAATCTTGGTCCGGTTCGGCCTTGTTTGGAAGGTTTTCGATTTGGTTGCCGCGTTTGGTTAAGCCAATGTCCTATTCGAGCGATTACGGATGATACCTCTCAGTCTACTCAGTGAGTCCCGCAAAACGCTTTATGTTTTGTGAGTTGACTCCTTATGCTAGAGCCAACCTGGCCTACCAGTCTTGTAAACAGATAGTTCCTTTTGGTTTGACACCTGAGGCTCCTTTGAGGTCTATGCATAAAGGACCTCATTAGGGTGTTGATAAAACTAGCTAAACCGGCTTCAGTGAGGTCAATCAAATTGAGAGGTACAAAGAGGACTTTTCGGGCCTTCTTTCGATTCTCTCCAACCAGTCGAGTTACTACGTTCCTTGCCTTTTTCACTTCATTCATGGTACCAAAAGGTAACAGAAGTTAAAGACCCTCATTATTAGGTGTACTCTGGTACCCAAGAGTTAGGTATTGTTTCGACGAAAAAAACGAGTTGTTTAGTCGAATGGATATGGATTTGAAAAGGAGGTCATTCCCAACCTACTCCTGAGAGAGGGAACTCCTTACCTCGAACGACTGGGTCAATCGGTTGAAGGAGCAGGGAGGATACGAATATTTGGCAGCGCCCGCATTAGTGGAATAAGCCAATCTTCCTTACCTACCAAGAAGATTGCCTCGGGCAGTTAGAATATCGGGTTCCACTAAAGCATCGAGAACAAAGTGCAGCTATTCCTTACATGATTCATCCGATATCATTTTTTGAGATGAATCACAAAGGTTACCTGATTGATAAAGTCAGACCAAACTGGATAACTACTCCAAGGAATAGGTGAGAAACCTAAACCAAAGTGAATGGACCAGTATAGTTCCACTTGGAAAGTAGTCAAAATACTACTTACTATCTTTCTGCCATCGGCTTTCCGAGAAGGAAGAGCTTTCCATGACGGACTCCATGTAATTCCTTGACACAAAGGAGTGGAGCCAATCAAGGGCAGGTTTCTATCAATCAGAGGCCGCCACTCTTTCTTTGGATATATCATAGAACGTATCCATAAGAGTAGGAGACTAAGATGGATAAATGATCGAGTCAACTACTCCATTCGTCAGCCGTTTTTCGAGTTGGTTGAATAACTCGACAAAGGCTAAAGAAGATATAACTTGACCAATCAATCTTCTCATCCTTTCATCTTATCGGCTCTGGAGGCTTTCCTCATGTACGTGCTGGCGACGTTGAATACAAGACTCTCTTCACTCTCGCGCCTTATGAAAAGAAGAATAGGCTTAGCCCTTAGTCTTATTAGTCAGGAGTTCTAAAGTCAAGTGAATGAATCCAATCCGAAAGTCAGTCAGTCTAAAGACTTCCTTTTTGTAAGCATTTAAGAAAGCAGCAAAAGCATAGAAGTGAGAAAGTTTTTGTCACCGCGCTTTTTAGCCCTCAGATTAA